GAGAGAGAGAGAGAGAGAGAGAGAGAGAGAGAGAGAGAGAGAGAGAGAGAGAGAGGTTCCTCTGGGAGAAAGGGAAGATGGGTGTGCAAGGTGCAAATCATAAGGGAGGTGGAGACCCATGGATAGCTTGAATCGATGAAGAAAAAGACACAGGGAAAGGTGAGACAATGCTAGGAGGTGGAATATCAAAGGTCTGCATTACAGTTTCAGAAGTTGCCACGACTATGGAAATCAACAGTAGACTGTAGACTCTGTACTAGCATTTTTAATAGCATTCTTTGTTGTTTCATCAAACGGGATCCCAAATGTCAAGTCAAATTATTAGACATTCAATTGTATGAGGTATGCAAAGCTTCTCAAAACAAAGTACAGACTTGATCCAAGCCCGATAACTATCCTTCTTTTCAATCTTTTGTACTAATTTGTAGTGATTTCATAATTGAACAACTCTGTTCGAAAAATATGTGTCAAGTTGTTAACTGGAACTGTTGTTTTGTGTGGAGGCAGGTTTACGTGATTCAAGAAGGCCATGTGAAAGTGACACGGAGCGCAGGGGTTACGCGAGCTGCTGAAGGACGAGGATCAGGAACAATGACGGGAATAACGTTCAGTGGTGAGATGGTGGCATTGATGCCCAGGCTCTCTCTAGTTGGGGAATCCTGCATTTTGAGTGGCGAATCCATCTGCCCATTTAACTTCGTGGCTGCTTCCGAACAGGTCTGCTGTTGCAGAGGGCTATGTATTTATTTGCCTTGCATTCAATCCACCACTCTCCTGTTTAGGCTCCCTCGCCCGCACCTGTATTGCTGCTGAAGCTCTCTTGTTGATTATATTTTAGCACGTGAAATCTTACAGATGGGCTGAGAAGAGCGTCAAGATACCTACCACACTTTCAGGATACCAAAAGTAAGACGTCAGACTCCCGTCAGAGTCGTCCGACCCATACCGGCAAATATGAACTCAGAGCGAAGGCCAGAATGAAAGTAGCGTGACGTCTCTCATATGAAAGTAGCGTGAAGTCTCTCATTCCCCTCCTTTTCAATCCTGAAACAGTTATTGTGAGGTATAAGAAAGACAAACCACTCAATTGAATGTCGTTTTGAGTCGGTCCTACAGTCCAAATGCAAGTTCTCCTTGCATGAAGGGGCAAAGGACCTTACCTTCTACCCCCGTCTGCAAAAAGCACGTTTTGAAGCTTGGATTGGCTTGGATCTTCAAGCTACTCAACAATGTTTTCCGATCTGATTCGTTCGATGTCACTAAGGAATAAGACCTAATAACACAATTTTCATCTTCTCCGCACATGGCTGCCTTAGAATGACTGGTCAGGCAGATCTGTGAAGCAGTAAACTGTCAGAAGCCCTCCTTTCCTTCCCCAAGCAAGGGCCGGAGAAGGAAAGGGGGAGGTCAAGGAGTGAGAAAAGCAAGTGATAGGAGAAAGGTAGAGATAGGACAGCAAGATTGTAAAAGCGATCGCATCAGGCAACTGCCAAGTCCAGGAATTGTTTTTCTTGTTGAATGTAAGGGAGGCTGGACCTGGTATCCAACAGGTAATTCTCCCCACCGATAGCTGGAGCCATCCTAATAAGGTGTGGCCTACTTTACAATGCTGTTCTTATCACCCCCTAAAGTAGGGGTCCAGCAATGGATGCCCTGTTTTTAAAAAATACATTAAAAAAATGTCACGGATCGTGTAAGACATGCCAAATACTTATTGTAATTTGTAACCCTTTCTGACTTGCCGGTGGAATAGGACCGGACTGACGCTCCCGAGAATAACAAAGGAGCCAGTTCTGTAATTTTCTGTTTTTTGAAAATTTTTCAAAAAAAAGAAAGGAAAAAAAAAGTAAGAGAAGCCAAGTTTCAGATATACCACAGATTGACATTCCACTCCCAAAATGATGTTGTACGGTGGTAGAATACGTAAAGCCACGCTTTCAAAAACTTTTAAGTAAAACTGTGATTTCAAAAACTTGAAGGCCTGCGATTCTTCATTGCAAGAACCACTCTTCTAGTCACGCAATTCCCTGTCCAGTGTCTACCCAAAAGGTTTAGCAAATTAGCATGCTTATGGTACCTATTACCTATTGCTAAGGAAGGTGTCACTTGGGACAGTCTGGAGAGGAAGGTGCACATTGACTATTGAGGGCAGCGAAGCTGACAAGGAGCAGACCTGGTCCTGCCTCGTTCAAATGGTTGAGAAAGAGATCAGATGCAGATGGCAGCAAATCAAGAATGCAGGGCTCTCTGGGACTGGAAAGGCGATTGAAAAACTCAAACAATAATGTAGTTTGGAGTTTTACTCTCACAGCGTAACCACATTATTCAGCGCACAATAGCTCTTCAGACCGTCTACCTCTCCGACTGCAACTCGAGTAATAATGTAGTTAGAGCATAGTTGCGGGTTCCGTAATTTCTTAGGGCCCCACCCCCGGCAAAAATGTTAATCTCGCGTTGCGAGTTCGGAAACCGGTCGCGCCCCAATTCCGAAATTTTGTTTTTGGGCAATGGCTGCTGAATTTTCCGCAGGCCCTTCCCCCAAAAATTTCGAAATGGCGGATCATGAAAATAGGGCTCATTCCAATTTTTTTTATTTTTTTTTGTTAAGGCGGGGTGTGGAAACTGGCGTTCCCCCTCTCTTCTACAAATCCCACACAGTGGTGGAAAAAAATTGCGAGAAGGGTGTAATTGCCCAATAGGGACCTGCCCTACAGTGCTTCGCAGAAGTCACGAGATATGTTTTGCAAGGCCAGCCGACCACCAATATATGCTGAAGATTGGCATTCAGGTCTGCATGTCGGCAGTTATGGGTTAGGATGAAGATGCCTGTAGATCTCTTTTTTTTTGTTTTGTTTTCTTATGAATATGTTCAGAGGCCTAAGGGGCCTGGCTCCACTACTCGCCACATGCACAAAAGCTATATGGCGGTGTATGGTTCCATGCGTTAGCAGAAGATTTCTTCTAATGTTATACATTTGGTGGGTGGTGGAGCGACGCCCTGAGAATCACGAGGAGACACGAACAGGGTCTAGCTGAATTGGTGACCCATAACTGCTGAGCTACAGACCTGAACTCGAACCCACAGCATATATTGGTGGTCTGCTCCCACCTCTTCCACATATGACGCGGCCATCCTGCTTGATAAAGCATTGGTCCTCAATGACTCCACAATGTCCACATACATTGTAGGAGCCATTCGAGTTACCTTCAGGGCCCCTTGAATTGATGTGAAGGGGTCCCTTTGCTCTCTCTCTCTCTCTCTCTCTCTCTCTCTCTCTCTCTCTCTCTCTCTCTCTCTCTCTCACACACACACACACACACACACACACACACACA